CGCAGTTTAATAGTGATGAGAGTGAAGAGTTCTAATCTCTTCAAACATTTCTTGTTGTTTGTACTACATTGCTTTAATGAATAAAATTTTATTTTTGCATTCATTGAGGGAGAGTTATTTTTCTATCTTATGCACTTATTGAGGGGGAGCTTTCATTTTTTATTATAATCAAAATAGGGGGAGAAATTATTTAAAGCCTCTTATGTTTAATAATTTTAATGATGTCTGGTATGTTTAATAGTTTTGTTAGTTGTGACAGTTAAAACAAGTTATTACAAAGGGCTTTAAAGTAAATTTTGATCACCATAAAAAAGGGGGAGATTGTTAAACATACAAGCATATGAAGCTTGAAGATTTTGATGATGATTCAAGAACAAATGACTTAAAGACTTGAAGACTTAGAATCATGTGTATTTTTCTTGTAATAACTCTGTTTTATGTTTTTGAGTCTGTATAATTAGAGTACAAGATAGCCAACACATAGTCCATCATCTGAAAACTCATTTTTATTCAATCCACTCTGTGATAATCAATTATTACTTAGAATAATCGATTATCCTGCACTGAAAAATTGTTTTTCTGAAAACCTTGTTGTGATAATCGATTATCACTCAGGATAATCGAATCCAAGCTAGATAATTGATTATTCACACAGATAATCGATTATCCTGGTCTTGTTTTACTCCTCTACGAAAATGGCTCTGTAATAATTGATTATCTACGTCTGTTATGAGTTTTGAAATTCAAATCTGGACCAATTTACGAAAACCCTATTCCCAATTCTTATGTTTTCGAAAATCATCATTTCGCAGACCCTATTCTCTCTACTTAAGGTTCTCTAAGGCTCTCTGCAAAATAACAAACATTTTTCATACAAAAGTTAAGAGTTGTGACTGCTAGAGAACTTTGTTAGAATCGCGCAGCGAAATGTTCGCGTTTAGGGACAAAAACCAAGAGGGGGGGTGAATTGGTTTCTTAAAAAAAATTAGGGTTTTGAAATTTTTCCCAAATTTCACCGATTAAAATGCTTTATAAAGTAAAGAGATAAGGGAAAGAAGATTACACAGTTGATTTATACTGGTTTGGATCAAAAGACCCTACGTCCAGTTGCTAATCACTCAAAAAGAGGATTAACGCTATCACTATAATCACAATTTACAACATATTACAAATTGAAAAGATAAGAAATAGAAAACACCTCTCTTGAGTCACACAAGAGATGAACACCTCCTTTGAATCCACAAAGGATGAACAATAGTTTTTCCTAGAGACAGTACAACACACAATCCACCAAGAAACCCACTCAGTGATTCTTATCGCTTCTAGCTCATACTAGGTTTTCAAAAGCCCCTTTTTCTTCCCTACAAAAAGTTCTCTAGCAGTCACAACTCATAACTTTTGTATGAAAAATGTTTGTTAATTTGAAGAGATTCTTAGAGAACCGTAAGTAGAGAGAATAGGGTCTGGGAAATGATGATTTTCGAAAACATAAGAATTGGGAATAAGGTTTTCGTAAATTGGTCCAAATTTGAATTTCAAAACTCATAACAGACGTAGATAATCAATTATCTTGAGTGATAATCGATTATTACAGAGTCATTTTCGCAGAGGAGTAAAACAGAACCAGGATAATCGATTATTTGGGTGAATATTCGATTATCTGGTTGGGATAATCGATTATCCTGAGTGATAATCGATTATCACAGAGAGCTTTTTAGAAAAATGATTTTTAGTGTAGGATAATCGATTATCATGAGTGATAATCGATTATCACAGAGTGGATTTGATAAAAATGAGTTTTCAGATCATGGACTATGTGTTGGCTATCTTGTACCCTAATTTTACAGACTCAAAAACATAAAATAAAGTTATTACAAGTAAAATACACATGATTCTAAGTATTCAAGTCTTTAAGTCCTTTGTTCTTAAGTCCTTTGTTCTTGAATCATCATCAAAATCTTCAAGCTTCATATCCTTGTATGCTTAATAATCTCCCCCATTTTGATGATGATCAAAATTTGCTTTAAAGTCTTTTGTAATAACCTGTTTTATCTGTCACAACTAACAAAACTATTAAACATACCAGACATCATTAAAATTATTAAATATATGACGCTTTAAATAATTTCTCCCCCTATTTTGATTATAATAAAAAAATGAAATGAAAGCTCCCCCTCAACATATGCATAACACAAATAAACAACTCCCCCTCAATCAATGCAAACATAAAATTCTATTCAATAAAATAATATAGTATAAACAAACAATCAATTTGAAGAAGTTAGAACTTTTCACTCTCATCACTATTACAAAATTTAAGCAATTTCTTTATCCCTGCCAGAAAATACATTGATAATCGATTATTACTTGAAATAATTGATTATTCCAGAGAAAAATCACTGATTTTGGTTAATGAGGTACAAATAATCGATTATTACCCCAAATAATCGATTATTATAGAAAGATTTTTCATGAACCACTCATTTAAGCTTCAATAATCGATTATTACCCAAGATAATCGATTATTCCAGAGAGATTAACAATTTTATCATGTATTAGACACAGGATAATCGATTATTGCCCTATATAATCGATTATTCCAGTACAAAATGCAAATATCGGTCAGTTAAGCATACTTTAGACCATTTCTAATATTCCTAAGTCTCTCCTAAGTTCATAGAATCTATCCTTTGGTAGAGGTTTGGTAAATATATTTGCTAATTGATGTTTTGTGTCTATATACTCAATTTTACAATTTTCTTTAGATATATGATCTCTAAAAAAATGATGCCTAATCTTAATGTGTTTGGTTCTAGAATGCATAACATGATTCTTTGTGAGATTAATAGCACTACACATTAAAGGAATATTACTTAGAAAAATATTAAAATCTTATAATTTTTGCTTCATCCATAAGATTTGAGCACAACAATTACCAGCTGCAATGTATTCAGCTTCAGTTGTGGATAAAGCAACACATGCTTGTTTCTTAGAATGTCAAGATATTAAGGATGATCCTAACAGATGACATGTTCCACTAGTACTTTTTCTATCTATTTTACATCTGCCATAATCAGCATCATAATAACCTATTAAACTAGGAGAAGCTTCAGATGGATACCATAATCCAAATCCTGTAGTTCCTTTCAAATGTTTTAAAATTTGTTTTACTGCGGTTAAATGAGATTCTTTTGGACATGCTTGAAATCTAGCACACACACAAACAGAATGCATAATATTAGGTCTACTTGCAGTTAAGTATAATAGAGAACCTATCATACCTCTATACATTGATTGATTAATTTCCAAACCTGATTCATCTTTATCCAAATAACATGATGTTCTCATGGGTGTGTAGCTTCCTTTGAAGTGTCCATTCCAAGTTTCTTGAGAATCTCTTTGCAGTATTTGGTTTGAGACACAAAGGTGTCATCTTTAAGTTGCATAATTTCAAGTCCAAGAAAGAATGTTAATTCTTCCATCATTGACATTTTAAATTCACCCTGCATTATCTTAGCAAATCCTTCACACAAGGAGTTATCAGTTGATCCAAAAATAATATCATCAACATATACTTGAACTAACAAAATATGTTCTTTTACTTTCTTAATAAATAGGGTGGAATCAATTTTCCTCTAGAAAAATCATTTGAAATTAGAAAATTACTTAATCTTTCATACCAAGACCTAGGAGCTTGTTTCAAACGATATAAAACTTTCTTCGGTTTAAAAATGTGATTAGGATATTTAAAATCTTCAAATCCAGGGGTTGTTACACATATACTTCCTCTTTGATAAACCCATTTAAAAATGCACTTTTAACATCCATTTGATAAAGTTTAAATTTCATCAATGAGGCATAAGCAAGAAGTAGGCGTATCACTGCAAGAAATTTTCCAATTAGCTAGAAAAATTTGTTACAAAATTTATTTTTCACTAATTTATAGCTAATTAGCTATAGAATAGTAAAGGAATAAAATTGTAGCTAATATGTGATAAAATAGCTAGAAGATAATATTTTTGTAACTATTCCCTCACTTAATAGAAAATAATTTAGCTAGGAAATTTTTTTATCACTAATCTCTAGCTATAAATATTAACTATATTATTTTTTAAGCTATTTCTTAGCTAAATTATATAATATACAATCATAGTTAAATTGTAGCAAATTTATAGCAAAAAAATAATTATAAAATAATTTGAAAATTATTTTTACCAAATTTACTATAAATATATTAATTATATATATATATATATATATATATATAAATTATTTTACTGTGCTTGAAATAAATTATTTGAAAATAATTATAATTTTTTTGAAAAAATATCTAAAAAAATTGATAAATATTTAAAATTATTTTCTGTAAAGTTTTTATAAATTTAAATTTGTAGGAAGTATTTTTTATAAATTGTAACATAATTTGCATCTCAATCCCTAAAAACATATTTTTCTACATCATATTACTTATTTTATAATTTTCTACTAAATCAAAGTATTATATCCCTATTTAATAATTACTTGAATCATAAAAAGAGTAATAAAATTTCACGTAACTTTTTAAAAAAATTATTTTTACATAACTTATACCTCTTATTTATTAATATTTTTATATTAAATAATAAAAACTTAAAGAGTACACAAATAAAATCTGTTTTGCAAATTAAATAAGGTAGATTAAATAACCTACCATTCAGACAATTATTAAACTCTTAAACTAGCATTGTTTTCCTGTTGGCAGTGTTTGCAACGTTTCCCCTCGGGGCGTCAAAATTAATAAGCTGAAATCATTCTTACATCCGTACCAAACAAGTATCCTCTTTTTCTCTTCGCAAAATCAAAACCTTATGCCACAGAGGAACAATCATTCAACTCTTTCAATCCTTCGATTAAGAACCTTTTCCCTTTCCTTTAAACTCCAATTTCCTGAGACAAACCGTTGCCATTGTTTTCCATTCAAAATTCAACACCCTTTCACGACGAAGAAAATGGGTTGTTAGGGTTTTCATTCTCTCGCTACGGTCTCCGCATTGCGGTTCCTCGCCTCTTCCTCTGCGAACCGTGATCACTTCCATTCCGTTTCACACTCTCTCGTCTCCGTTCTTCGATTTAGGGTTCATAATTCTTCTTCCGATTTTAAACCGAGTGAATTACAGAAAATGTACGCTGATCTCGTGGAGAATGGAGGGCGGAGGTCCGTGAAGGAGCGCATTAATGGGAATGGTACTAGTGGTCTTACTCGGCTGCAGTAACAACATCAAATCACCAGCAAGAGGTTTGCAATTCGTACTCCTTCATGTTTTCATGATGTTTTAGGTTAGGTTTTGAATTCGGTTGTGGTTTCGCCTTACAGTCATGTTGTAGTCTGCAGTGAAATGGTGGAAACCTCATAGTTGTTAAATAACATATCCGTCATGCGTATACAAGTAGACAGGAAAGGTTGTGATGTAAGATGCAATTGTCACTTGTTTGAGTTCAGAGGTATACTCTGTAGGCACTCTCTTGCAGTACTATCACAAGAGAGAGTGAAGGAGGTCCCCTGTAAATATGTGTTGGATAGATGGAGAAAAAATATTTAGAGGAAGCATGTTTATATAAAAACGAGTTATGGTGTTAGCATTTTGAACCTCATGTGCAGAGGTTTGAACGGTTATGCAATCAATTCAATAGTATGTTAGAAACGCGTAGCGGAATGTTCGCGTGGTTGGACAAAAACCAAGAGGGAGGTGAATTGGTTTCTTAATAAAAATTAGGTTTTCAAAATTTTCCCCAAATTTTACCGATTAAAAACTGTGTAAATGTAAATAGAGAAAAGAATAGAGTCTTACACAGGAAATTTATACTGGTTCGGATCAAAAGACCCTACGTCCAGTTCCTAATCACTAAAATTGAGGATTAACACTGTCACTATAAACAAAGTTATTACAAACAATTTACAATAGAAGAGATAAAGTAAAGATAACACCTCTCTTGAAATCCACAAGAGATGAAGAACAGCTTTCCCCAGAGACAGCACAACACACAATCCACTAAGAACTCCACTTAGTGATTCTTATCGCTTCTAGCCCACACCAGGTTCAGAAAGTACCTTTTTCTTGCAACAAACAGTTCTCTGGCACTCACAACACTTAACTTTTGTATGAAAAAGGTTGTTCTTCTTTTCTGAGTGCCAAAGAAGAGTTTAAGTAGAGAAATTAAGGTTTGGGAATTGAGATTTTCGGAATTAGGGTTCTTGGGAAAATGGTTTTCGAAAATAGGTTTGATTTGAAGTTAAAAATCAAAATCTGACTGAAATAATCGATTAAAAGAAGTATTAATCGATTAAAACAGAGCCAAATATCAACAGAACTCAAACCTCTCTGTTTTAATCAATTAAAAGGTGGTTTAATCGATTAAACCGCCTGATAATCGATTAAAAGTTGGTTTAATCGATTAAACTAGTGAGTTTTTACAGAAAATGATTTTTCTCACTGTTTTAATCGATTATTTCCCTATTTAATCGATTAAAGCTGAGTCTGGATGATAAATTTGAGCTTTTTGAAGCTTCTAAGGTGCAGACTATGTACTGGCTATCTTAAACTCTAATATTACAGACTCAATCTAATTGAAATAGAGTTATTACAATACAAAACAAGTTTTCAACACTCTAAGTGTTTGTGTTCTTGAATCACCATCAAAATCAACAATCGTCATGTCTATCAAGTGCAGCATCAAGTCCTTGAATGTTCAACAATCTCCCCCTTTTTTATGATGATCAAAATTATCTTTTAAAGCCTTGTAATAACTTGTTTTATCTGTCATACTAACAAACACATTAAACATACCTGATAATATTTAAAAGTAATCAAATTAGGCTTTAAATATTTTCTCCCCCTATTTTGATTAGAATAAAAAATAATTCATCCATTACAAACATAAGAGCTCCCCCTCAAAATATGCATAATTTAGAGAAAGCTCCCCCTCAATCAATGCAATAACAAAACATCACATTTTATTTCAGAAATGTCAATACATTACATCACAAGAAGATAAAATAAACAACAAAATTAAAATTCTTCACTATCATCACCATTAAAGTGTGCATCAAATCTATTTTCTAAATGGCACACTTTATCATCTACATCAGATATACGGCGAATTAATTCCTCATGCCGTACTCCAGAAAGAGTGAAGAATGATTGCATCCTTTGATTCATATCAGATAACATGTCTTCCATGGATTGTCGGGTTTTATGATGAGTAGAGGAAGTTCCAACACTTTGGATTTGGTCAGAGGGAAACTCAGCAGCTGGAGGCATATCTTCATCAGAATCTTCATTAGCATCACCTTGATTAAGAATGTCATCTTTGTGAACATAAATATCATTGACTCGCACCATTTGGAGTTGAATCAATGTGTTGTCCAGCATGCGGTTCAAGTTATTTGTTCAAACTGCTTGTTCACCTTCAACATTCACTCCTTTATATTCAAGAATACGAGAGACAAGTAAAGCATATGGAATTTTGAATGTGGGATGACGTTTTGCTTTTAACATGGTCATTGTGACAAGAACGCCCCAATCTAAAGGTTCATTATTCATTATGGCATGAATAATTTTAAGATCAATTGAAGAACATTGGGCATGATTTGTAGCCCGAGGACATAGGATCCAGCACAATTAGATGTAGAATCATGCGTTCCTCCTTCTTTAAAGGTCCAAGCAAGAAGGAGACGTCCAATCTCCATGGAGGGATTTCGTGAAAAGAACGAGTAAGCTAAGAACCTGTCAAAACCATCTAACTCACCATAAATGTTAATAGCATCGTCTCTAATTGGAAAGTGAGTGACGTTTTCCCAAATATCATCGTCAAGAATAATTGTGACACCCTTTACTCTAGAAGTAGCAATTTGATCTCTAAATTTAAATCTAGAGTAAAATACCCTAACCAAGTTCGGATAATAAGTACCTTGCATTTGGATGAAGGGAAGAACTCCCTGAATTTCAAGAAGGTTGGGAAAATTGAATCCCCTATTGATGAATTGCTCACCAATAAGAAACTTGGGAGAAATAATAGCCCTTTCCTTCCAAGTAGGTCGAAATTCTTGTTGGCCATCTCGTATCGTAAATCCATCCTTCTACGGAATTAGGACGGGGTCGAGATGAGGGTGCAGATCTTCTTCTAGTAGGGATCTTAGCACGAGAAGATGAGGCCATTTGAAGGATTAAGAGAATAACAAGAAGATTTAGGAGGGCAAGGTAAGTTAGAAGTAAGCAAGATTGCAAGAATAAGGCAAGATAGCTTGATTTCAAGAGATAAAAGTGAGTAGAAGTAAAATAGAGATCCCTATATATAGCCAAGCATGTCTAACGGTCATATTGAAGTGAATAGAGGCCAAAAGAGCCGTTGGCAACGGCTAGAACCCATACTTGCCAGGTTTAATCGATTAAAACTCAGAATAATCGATTAAACCAATTCCAGTCGCATTTAATCGATTATTTCGAGCTGATAATCGATTATCAGAAGGTTTTAATCGATTAATTTACGAATTAATCGATTATTCCAGAGAGGAATACCCTGTTTTCAGTGTTTTGGATGCAAATAATCGATTATACCTCCAATTAATCGATTATTCCAGAGAGGAATGCCCTGTTTTGAGTGTTTTAACACATGATAACCTATGAACATCCTATACCACGAATTATAACATTACAATCATCCAAAAACAGTCAAATTAAGAAGAATTTAAGCTATTTCTAATATCCCTAAGTCTCTTCTAAGATCATAGAATCTATCCTTGGGTAGAGGCTTAGTAAATATATCTGCTAATTGACGTTTGGTATCTACATACTCTATTTTACAGTTTCCTTTCATCGATATGGTCTCTCAAAAAGTGATGTCTTATTTCTATATGTTTAGTCCTAGAGTGCATTATCTGGATTCTTAGTAAGATTAATTGCACTCGTATTATCACACATCAAAGGAATGTCATTTAAAAATATACTATAATCTTCTAACTGTTGTTTCATCCACAGAATTTGAGCACAACAACTACCAGCTGCAATATATTCAGCTTCAGTGGTAGATAAAGCAACACATGCCTGTTTCTTAAAATGCCAAGATATTAAGGATGAACCTAACAAATGACATGTCCCACTAGTACTTTTCCTATCAATTTTACATCCACCATAATCAGCATCAGAATATCCTATTAAACTCATACAAGCATCAGACGGATACCACAATCCAAAACCAGTAGTTCCTTTTAAGTATTTTAAAATATGTTTCACTGCAATTAGATGAGATTCTTTAGGACAAGCTTGAAATCTAGCACACACACAGACAAAATGCATAATATCAGGTCTACTTGCAGTTAAGTATAACAGTGATCCTATCATACCTCTATACATAGTTTGATTAACTTCCAAACCTGATTCATCCTTGTCTAGATAGCATGAAGTTCCCATGGGTGTGTTAGCTTCCTTTGAGGTGTCCATTCCAAACTTTTTAAGGATCTCTTTGCAGTATTTGGTTTGAGACACAAAAATGTCATCCTTAAGTTGTTTAATTTGAAGTCCAAGGAAGAATGTTAATTCTCCTATCATAGACATTTCAGACTCTCCCTGCATTATCTTAGCAAATTCTGCACATAACGAATTATCAGTTGATCCAAAAATAATATCATCAACATACACCTGGACCAATAAGATATGTTCTTTAACTTTCTTTATAAACAGTGTAGAATCAATTTTTCCTCTAGAAAAATCATTTGATGTTAGGAAACTACTTAACCTTTCATACCAAGATCTAGGAGCTTGTTTCAACCCGTATAAAGCTTTCTTTAATTTAAAAACATGATTAGGAAAACTAAAATCCTCAAAACCAGGGGGTTGCTCCACATAAACTTCTTCTTTAATAAAACCATTCAAAAATGCACTTTTAACATCCATTTGATATAGTTTAAATTTCATTAAAGATGCATAGGCAAGAAGTAGGCGTATAGCCTCTAACCTGGCAACAGGAGCATAAGTTTCATCATAATCTATACCTTCCTCCTGACAATAGCCTTTTGCAACAAGTCTGTCTTTATTCTTTGTTATGTTCCCATCTTCATCAAGTTTATTTCTAAACACCCATTTGGTTCCAATAACTTGATATGATTCTTCCCTTGGGATTAATTCCCAGACTTGATTTCTTTCAAATTGGTTAAGTTCTTCTTGCATGATTATGCACCATTGTTCATCTTTAAGTGCTTCCTCAACATTCTTGGGTTCAATCTGTGACACAAAAGCTACAGACATACAAAAATTAGTCATATTTCTTATTCTTACCCCTTTTGAGATGTCATCTATGATATTGTCCATTGAGAGTCCTCTAGGTGATTGCCATTCTTTTGCTAATTCAGGCGTTTGAGAAGGCTCATTTTCTTCCAAATATAATTCATCAAGAGCCTCTCTTATATATTCATCATCACCTGCAAGTTCTTTATTTGACTCAAGAGGATTTCCCCCAAGGTCTACAATCTCATCAAAAGTAACATGAATAGATTCTTCTATATTTAAAGTTCTTCTATTAAATACCCTGTAAGCCTTACTAGTTAATGAATAACCTAAGAAAATGCCCTCATCGGCTTTAGAGTCAAATTTTCCTAAGTTATCTTTTCCATTATTTAACACAAAACACTTACATCCAAAGATTTTCAAATGAGCAACATTAGGCTTTCTACCATTAAACAATTCATATGGAGTAGATTTAATTATTGACCTAATGAGCATTCTATTTAAAACATAACATGCAGTACTAACCGCATCAGCCCAAAAATATTTAGGAACATTAGATTCATTTAACATAGTTCTGGTAAGTTCCTCTAATGACCTATTTTTCCTTTCAACTACACCATTTTGTTGGGGAGTCCTAGGAGCAGAAAAGTTATGTAAAATTCCATTTTCTTCACAATAATTTTCAAACTTTTCATTTTGAAACTCACCACCATGGTCATTTCTCAAAACTTTAATTCTTAAGTCTTTCTCATTTTGAATTTGTTTTACAAATTTTCTAAAGACCTTAAAAGCTTCACTTTTCGTAGTAAGGAAAAATGTCCATGTATACCTAGAGTAATCATCAACAATCACAAGTCCATAATAATTTCCACCAAAGCTTTTTATCCTAGAAGGTCCAAATAAATCTAAATGTAATAATTCTAGGGGTTTTGAAGTGGAAATAACATTCTTTGATTTAAATGATGATTTTACTTGTTTACCCTTTTGACATGCATCACATAATCTATCTTTTTCAAATTTTAACTTAGGCAAACCAATAATTAAGTCTTTTGATATCAATTTATTCAAATGATGCATATTTATATGAGCCGCTCTCTTATGCCATAACCAAGGGTTCTCTTCCTTAACAACTAAACATGTTATGCTAGACTCATGTAAACAATCCAAATCAATCAAATATATGTTGTTATGCCTAATGCCTTTCAATGCTACATTTTCGGAATCAATCAAGTGTATGGTGCAAAATTTACTTTCAAAAATTACCTTGAAGCCTTTGTCACATAATTGACTTATACTAAGGAGATTATTCTTAAGTCCATCAACAAGTAGCACATCCTTGATCTCCAAAGTGTTTGCACTGCATATGTTTCCAATTCCAAGGATCTTCCCTTTGTTGTTGTCCCCATAAGTTACATATCCTTATTCCTTAGCTTTGAAACTCACAAATTTAGTTTTATCTCCGGTCATATGTTTTGAGCATCCGCTATCAAGATACCACATAGACTTCTTTGATTTGGAAGTTTCCTACAAAACAAGAATATAGTAAACTTAGGTCCCCACAACTTTTGGGTCCTTGGGGTTAGAGACATAACAAACTATTTAACTATAGGAACCCAAATGTATTTTCCTTTAGGAACACCAAAATGCTTAATTTTATATCTATTTGAAGTATGACCATGTTTCATACAGTAAAAACATGCATTTGATGTAACTTTTGAATATGATGAATCTTTAACCATAGATGTTCTAGTTCCTTTTTCTACCCATTCTCTTTTATTTTTCCTTTTAGGCTTTTTCAAAGGAACTTGATAATTTACACTATTTTGAGTTACAACAACTTTATTATTATTACTCAATTCCTTTTCGGCTTTATCAAGTAGATGATTAAGTATATCTATGTCATACTCATACTCTTTACAAGATGCACATACTATATTCTTATCATTATTCTCATCTATGCATACAATTTTTGTTTCTAAGGTTTCCTTTTCCTCTAAACATGCAATTTTCGTTTTTAATGACTCATTTTCCTCTAAACATATAATTTTTGTTTTTAAGGACTCTACCTCCTTTTCGGAACTACTTAAACTCTTTTTCACAGCTTTGTATTCATTTTTCAAGTCCTTAAAGGAACTAAACAATTCATTATATGCATTTTGTAATTCATCAAAATCATTTTCATCATCACTTGAGGTTGAGTCGGAATCACTAACCTCAAAGTCGGAAGAAATATTGTCTTTTGCCAACAAGCAAATGTTAGCTTCTATTTCCAAATCACTAGACTCCGAAATCGAGTCACTATCATCGGTTCCTTCATAAGTTACTCTTAGTTTTTCCCACATCTCTTAAGCACTTTTACAAACAGAGATCCTGTAAAACTCATCAAGCGTTAAAGCAGATGAAATTATATTTCTAGCCCTAACGTCAAATTGTGCTTTTCTGTTTTCTTCTGCAGTCCATCTAGAAAAAAGGTTTAAAAAACGTCAACACCGTTCTTAGTAATTTTAGGAACAAATGAACCATTTAAAATAGCATCCCAAACGCCTCTATCAACACACTCTAAAAAGATTTGCATTCGTACCTTCCAAAAAGGATAATTTTGACCCGCAAAAAGTGGGGGTCTGTTGATAGACGCACCTTCGGCAAAAGTTTGATTTTGTCCGGCCATTTTCGAAAATTTGAATGACTATCAAAGCAAGCTCTGATACCACTTGTTAGAATCGCGCAGCGGAATGTTCGCGTGGTCGGACAAAAACCAAGAGGGGGGGTGAATTGGTTTCTTAATAAAAATTAGGTTTTCAAAATTTTCCCTAAATTTTACCGATTAAAAACTGTGTAAATGTAAACAGAGAAAGGGATAGAGTCTTACACAGGAAATTTATACTGGTTCGGATCAAAAGACCCTACGTCCAGTTGCTAATCACTCAAACAGAGGATTAACGTTGTCACTATAAACAAAGTTATTACAAACAATTTACAATGGAAGAGATAAAGTAAAGATAACACCTCTCTTGAAATCCACAAGAGATGAAGAACAACTTTCCCCAGAGACAGCACAACACACAATCCACTAAGAACTCCACTTAGTGATTCTTATCGCTTGTAGCCCACACCAGGTTCAGAAAGCCCCTTTTTCTTGCAACAAACAGTTCTCTGGCACTCACAACACTTAACTTTTGTATGAAAAAGGTTGTTCTTCTTTTCTGAGTGCCAAAGAAGAGTTTAAGTAGAGAAATTAGGGTTTGAGAATTGGGATTTTCGGAATTAGGGTTCTTGGGAAAAGGGTTTTCGAAAATAGGTTTGATTTGAAGTTAAAAATCAAAATCTGACTGAAATAATAGATTAAAAGAAGTATTAATCGATTAAAACAGAGCCAAATATCAACAGAACTCAAACCTCTCTGTTTTAATCGATTAAAAGGTGGTTTAATCGATTAAACCGCCTGATAATCGATTAAAAGTTGGTTTAATCGATTAAACCAGTGAGTTTTTACAGAAAATGATTTTTCTCACTGTTTTAATCGATTATTTCCCTATTTAATCGATTAAAGCCGAGCCTGGATGATAAATTTGAGCTTTTTGAAGCTTCTAAGGTGCAGACTATGTACTGACTATCTTAAACTCTAATATTACAGACTCAATCTAATTGAAACAGAGTTATTACAATACAAAACAAGTCTTCAACACTCTAAATCTTTGTGTTCTTGAATCATCATCAAAATCAACAATCTTCATGTCTATCAAGTGCAGCATCAAGTCCTTGAATGTTCAACATAGTATTGCTGTTTCTGCTGCTGAATTCGAGGGTACAAGTTCTTTTGTGAAGGATACCCTATATAACTTAAAGGAGAAATTGTAAGTGTAACTCAGTATGAGGCCAAAACAATACCCATGCACGTGAACGGATATTGCGGGATAAGTAGAAGTATGATTACTTACCATCTATATGTTACAGAGAGAAGAGTGGATGATTTTGTTTGTAGTAAGTAATTGCTTACTCATTCAAATAATGGAGCTACTACAATACAATCATATTTCCCTTATCTATGCCTATCTACCTATCAGGTATAGGTATAGCTTCCTTGTGATTTTGTGAACTGTGGTGTGTTTCCTTTGCGTGTCTGGAATCAAGACTTTAGAACTAGTGTATAGTCTTGTTCTTTGCTTAGAAGTGGAAAATGGTGAATCCCACTTTTTCTGCTCGCAGATTGTTCCTATTGCATGGGGGGTTAAAGGGAATATTCATTTACCATCTTCACCTTCTGTTTAGATTTGATGGGAGATTCTCCTCTTCTTTTAACTTCTTCGTACCTAAAGCATAGAGGGTAGTAATAAAAAATGTCATTTCGTTATTTAAATATTATATGATGGAAAAGAACAAAGATTTTCAGTTTATATTTCTAAAAAATGGGGTAGCATAGCAGCATATATTCCTTGCTCCAGTTAACTGTTAATTTTAACACTTGCACGTGTGAAAGGTGGTGAATCCAAATGCCTCATGCAACTTTGCTCTGCAAAGATAGTTGGATCAGTCCTACCCTACCCTACTCATTTTCTCAAAAGATTTTATTATATAAATTAAGGAAAGAGTTTTCAATTTAATATCACAATCTTTTAAAAAGATAAATTAACTAAATGAACTTGAACTGTTATGTAAAAGAGTAACATTATAATTTGGTTTAAGAGAAGCAATAAACAATATTAACATTCAGCTACAAAAAAGCAAAGCCTTCAACCCTTTTGTTTGAACTTGTTCTTTCTTACTACTCTCGGGGTTTTGTGGTTGGCATGATCATGGAGTTCAGATCCAAGTCATGCAGAGATGAAAGGCTCTAGATTGAAAGCAACGGTGGAGGCAAGGTGGCCCCAACAAGCATGCAAGATATGAGGTGTCAGAGTGCTAAAAATGCTTCTTCTGGCCGTGCACACCAGATAGGTAGCACTGGTAAGGAGGTGAAGGTGAAGAGATGGAAAAGGACAGCTGCTAAACCATAAAAAAGTTGGAGCTTCAGTGACCCTGAGTTGCAGAGGAAGAAGAGAGTTGTTGGCTATAAAATATATGCTGCAGAAGGCAAAATGAAAGGCTCTCTAAGAAAGAGTTTCAGGTGGATCAAGAATACATACACTCAAGCTCTCTATGGATGGTGGTGATTCATGTTTTATTCTCTTTTCTTCATGTTTTCTTTTCTGTAATGGAGCCTAAATATGAATTCAAACTATTAAATAAACATACTGCAATATATTAGCATATGCACCAACTCAAAAAGAACAATGAAAATTATTTTTGATTCCTAGTAATTGAAGCCACGAATACCTTACAAACGAGCAATCAATTTTTGTGTTCATCAATGTGAGATCTCCATTGCATTTATTGCACTTAATTGAAACAACCAAAAAACTTTTCCAATATATTACTGAACAATTTTCCATTTATCAATAGTTGTTATGGTAATGAGCTGAATGTGCAATAAAACTCAAAAAGTTTATGGCCTACCTGGCAGAAAAGTTCACCTATAAAGTAGAGAGGCTTTACTCATCAACATAACAGTCTCAGTTTGAGACAAACATATAAAGTGCATTTACTCTACTTCCATGAAAGAAAATGTATGCAAGTTTGATGATTTGTTTGCAGGAAATAGATAATATTTATTATGAAACCGAATACAGAAGAGAACGGTGCAACAACAAGGGTAAAGCATCAACTTGCTTCCTTTTTGCAAGAAAGTTTACTCGCACTGCTGCTTTAAGGCTTCTTAATGTGGTAAGTTCATGGTTTTCTTGAAGAGTCGTAATATCTAGCTTTGAAACATTTTCTATTCTTTTTGAGTTTCTACAAATCTAGCTTGTTAATTAATTTTCTGCTTTTTAATTTGACAGTCTGCTCTGGGAGATTTCAATTAAGAGAACAAAGTGATCACAATCAGAGTCTGATACAAGCAAAAAATACACTTAGCAAAACAATCAAAAGGAAGAACAGGAATAAAGTAAAAGCAGTTGAAGAGTATTTTGCTACCATAATCATATGTATTTTTACAAATTTATGAGTCTGTGGTGTACATATATTTTTATTATTTTGAATAATATTTTTACACGCAGTTTCAATTCAAACAATCATTTTCCAACATAATAAATACATCCTCCATAAATTCACCCAACTTTGTGTGAATCACCCCTATCAAGACCTTCACATGTTATCTTCATTCAATATAGCTATAAATGAGAGCCCCTTGTTTATTAAACCTGCAAATTATGCAGAATTTGTAAATTTCACATATATGAATTTAATGTGTTTTTTCATTCTCTATTATCAAAACAATAAAACTTCATATTCCTCCATCAATTTTCAAATCTCTATCATCAAGTTTCTTGTCTAAAAATCCACCTTGGCTAGTACAAGTCACTGGTTTCATGAAACTAGATTACATGTGTTTCATTTATTTTTTGATGTTCCATTAAATAGACATTTAAAAAATCTAGCATTTCAATTAGTAGTATTATGTAATACCATTTTCATACCATATTTAAAATAATTACGAGGAATTAACTACAGATCAGCTAGAGATAAATTGTCAAGGATTAGCTACAGATTAGCGATAGAAATATTACGAGGGATTAGCTACGGATTAGCGAGAGAAATATTGCGACGGATTAGATACAGATTAGCGACAAATTAATGATAGAAAATTACGAGGGATTAACTACAAATTAGTGAGAGTGAAATTGCGACGGATTAGCTACGGATTAGAGAGAGAAAATTTGTGAGGGATTAGTTACGGATTAGCGAGAGTGAAATTGCGAGGGATTAGCTACGGATTAGCGAGAGAGAAATTGCGAGGAATTAGCGAGAGAAAAATTGCGAAAGATTAGCTAAGGATTAACTACAACTTTTAGGAGATCAATTAGCTAGGGAGAAATAAAATTTCATCACTTAAATTAGCGAGAGACTTAGCGACAAATTGGCGACAAAATTTACTATAAATTTGAGAGAGAATACATCTCTATCTAATTAGCTACTTGGATTTAGCGACGGACTATTCCATAGCTATTCCGTAGCTAATCTGTAGCAAAACATACCAGCGAGAGATTAACTATAAAATAGCTACGAAATGCGTCATAGCTAATATGTAAAATTCTTGCAGTGTATAGCCTCTAACCTGGCAACAAGAGCATAGGTTTCATCATAATCAATACCTTCCTCTTGACAGTAACCTTTGGCAACAAGTCTGGCTTTGTTCTTTGTTATATTTCCATCTTCATCAAGTTTGTTTCTAAATACCCATTTTGTTCCAATAACTTGATGAGATTCTTCTTTTGGAATTAATTCCCAGACTTGGTTTTGTTCTTTGTTATATTTCCATCTTCATCAAGTTTGTTTCTAAATACCCATTTTGTTTCAATAACTTGATGAAATTCTTCTTTTGGAATTAATTCCCAGACTTGGTTTCCTTCGAATTAATTTAGTTCTTCTTGCATTGCAATGCACAATTGGTCATCTTTGAGAGCTTCCTCAACATTTTTGGGTTTAATCTGTGAAACAAAAGCTACAGACATACAGAATATTGTCATATTTCTAGTTCTTACCCCTTTTGAAATATCACCAATTATATTGTCCATTGAAAGTCCTCTTGGTGGTTGCCACTCTTTTGCAAATTTAGTTGGTTGAGATGACTCATTCTCATTTAAGTACATTTCTTCTAGAGCTTCTCTTATGTACTCATCATCACCTGCATATTCTTTACTTGACTCAAGAGGATTTCTCTCAAGGTCTACAACTTCATCAAAGGTAACATGTACAAATTCTTCAATATTGAAAGTTCTTCTATTGAATACTCTATATGCTTTGCTAGTTAGTGAATAACCTAAGAAAATGGCCTCATCGGATTTTGAGTCAAATTTTCCTAAGTTATCTTTTCCATTATTTAAAACAAAGAATTTATATCCAAATATTTTTAAATGAGAAATATTAGGCTTCCTACCATTTAACAATTCATAAGGAGTTAATTTTATAATTGGCCTAATAAGCATCATATTCAATACATAATATGCAGTATTACAGCATTAGCCCAAAAATATTTAGGAACATTTGATTCATTTAACATTGTTCTAACAAGTTCCTCTAGTGACCTATTTTGTTAGAATTGCGCAGCGGAATGTTTGCGTTTACAGACAAAAACCAAGAGGGGGGTGAATTGGTTTCTAAAACAAAAATTAGGGTTTTAAAATTTTTCCAAAATTTCACTGATTAAAATGTTTTGTAAAGTAAATAGAGAAGGGATAGAGTATTACACTGTCGATTTATACTGGTTCAGATTAAAAGACCCCATGTCCAATTGCTAATCACTCAAACAGAGGATTAACGTTGTCACTATAATCACAGTTTTACAAATAGATAACAATTGAAAAGATAAGGTAAAGAATACACCTCTCTTGAGTCACACAAGAGATGAACACCTCCTTTGAATCCACAAAGGATGAAGAACAACTTTCCCTAGAGACGGCACAACACACAATCCACCAAGAAAACTCACTTAGTGATTCTTATCGCTTCTAGCCCACACTAGGTTTCAAAAGCCCCTTTTTCCTCCCAACAAATAGTTATTTGGCAGTCACAACTCTTAACTTTTGTTTGAAAAAGGTTATTCAATTTGCAGAGAGCCTTACAGAACCTTAAGTAGATAGATTAGGGGTTGGGAATTGGGGATTTTCGAAAACAGATGAATTGGGAATAGGGTTTTCGAAACTTGGTCCAATTTTGAATTTCAAAACACATATCTGACTGAAATAATCGATTATCTTGAGTGTTAATCGATTATTCCAGAGCCAAATTCGCAGAGAACCCAAAACAACTCCAGTTAATCAATTAACAGGGCATTTAATCGATTAACATCCCAATTAATCGATTAACAGGGTGTTTAATCGATTATTCCAGAGAGCAGATGCTGAAAATGATTTTCACTTTGTAATAATCGATTATCCTGCCATTTAATCGATTAATCCAGTATGTTTTTGATAAAAATGAGTTTTTAAAGCCTTTAAAGAGTGGACTATGTGCTGGCTATCTTGGACTCTAATATTACAAACTCAAAATCATAAAAACAGAGTTATTACATAACATTATAAGTCTTCAAATCTTTAAGTCCTTTATTCTTGTATCATCATCAAAATCTACAAGCTTCATATCCTTGTATTTTTCAATAATCTCCCCCTTTTTGATGATGATCAAAATTTCCTTTAAAGCCCTTTGTAATAACCTGTTTTATCTGTCACAACTAACAATAAAACATTAAACATACCAGATAACATTTAAATTTAATAAACATAAGAGGCTTTAAATAATTTCTCCCCCTATTTTGATTATGATAAAAAAATTAAAGCTCCCCCTCAATAAATGCATAAATTAGCTCCCCCTCAAACAAAGCAAAAATACTAATTTTATTCCATAAATTAAAGTAATTACAATCAAGAAGATATGAGGAAGAGATTAAAACTCTTCACTTGCATCACTGTTGAATTGAACATCAAATCTATCCTCTAAGTTACAAACCCTATCATCAACATCTGAGATACGACGAATGATTTCCTGATGTTGTTCTTGAGAGATAGTGAAGTATTCTTGCATTCTTTGATTCATATCAAAGAGCATATCTTCCATTGATTGGCGGGATGTAGGAAGGGCAGATGATGTCCCAGCAATATGAATATATTCAGTAAGAAATTCAGCAGCAGGCATCTCTTCATCAGAATCTTCAGCATTTTCAGCCATGTTGGGAGCGTCATCTTTGTGCACGTAGATTTCATTAACATGCACCATTTGTAACTGAGTTAGTGTGCTGTCAAGCATTCTATTTGAATTTATCGTCCTGACCGTTTGCTCTCCTTTAACATTCACTCATTTGTATTCTAAAATACGAGAAATAAGAAGAGCATATGGGATTTTAAAAGTAGGATGACGCTTGGCTTTAAGCATGGTCATAGTGACCAAACTACCCCAGTCAATTGGCTCATTATTCATGAAGACATGAATAATGTGAAGATCAATAGATGAGCATTAGGCATGGTTGGTTGCCCGGGGACATAAAATCCAGACAATGAGATGCAGTAGCAAGAGTTCCTCCTTCTTTAATGGGCCGGCCAATAGAAGTCGCCCAATTTCCATGGAGGGGTTGCGGAGAAATGAGCGGTAAGCCATAATTCTATCAAAATCTTCTAACTCCGCAAAAATATTGATAGCATCTTCTCTTACATTAAAATGGGCAACATTTTCCCATATATTGTCATCAAGGATGATAGTCACACCTTTGACTCGAGAAGTAGCTACATGATCTCTAAATTTAAAACGAGAATAGAATACCCTAACTAGATCAGGGTTGTAAGTACCTTGCATTTGGATAAATGGGAGGACACCTTGAATTTCAAGAAGATTTGGAAAATTAAATCCCCTATTGATGAATTGATCACCAATTGTTGAACATTCAAGGACTTGATGTTGCAAATAATGATCATGAAGAATGTTGATTTTGATGATGATCCAAGAGCTTAAAGACTTAGAGTATTGAAGATTGAAGATTGATGATTTCTGTATTGTAATAACTCTGTTTTAGTTTGATTGAGTCTGTAATTATAGAATCTAAGATAGTCGGTACTTAGTCTGCAACTTAGAAGCTTCAAAAAGCCCAAATATATCATCCAGGCTCGGCTTTAATCGATTATATAGGGAAATGATCGATTAAAACATTGAGAAAACCATTTTCAGTATATACTCACTGTTTTAATCGATTAAAACATCAAAATAATCGATT